TTCATCTCTATGTTTTTCACCCCCTAGGTCTTAGCTATAGATAAGACAAATGATTCCAGCAAATCTGTCATCATTAGCATCAAAGGAAAAACAGCTTTTCGCTTCCATGAAGTTGAAGACTTTGAACAACTGGTGGCAAAACTCAGGCTCAGATGCGGAGCAGCTTCAGCTCAATATCATGATATTAGCACAGAGGTAATTAATTATACAGCAATCAAATCATTTTGAAAAAAAAGGTGTGTGTTTAGTGTAGCCCATTCTTCAAAAGGAATTCATAGTACCTTTCCTATTTATGTCCAGGTTTTTTTTTTAAAGATAGAATCTAAGAAAGTATATTGTCTAACTCACATCCTAAAGCAGAAGTGAGAATTAAGGACTTCATTTTTAGAAACTCATTCATTTTTAGAAACTCATACTTTATAAAATTATTATAATTTGATCTTTCTTTTACTATATTTGCTGTTTACCATATAAATATACCTTGTACTTTCACATAGTTTGGTTTTTAAGAAATCAAAATATATTTGAGAATTCAGTGAGGACTCGAAAAAGGACTCCTCTTATTGTTGCAAAGAGATAGCAATTTTAAACCTGTCTGGATATCTTTTATTTAATATCTTGTAGGTCAGCTTATTTACATAATCTGGCCAAAAGCAAAATAATAGTATATCTGTTTACTAGTAAAATATTAGAGAGGATAAGGAGGATTTTGATGTTTCATATGTCTCTCATGGAAATGCAGACAGGCCGAATTCAAATGAATTTTCTTTTGCAATGTCCAGGAACCCCATGTTTTAATAGATTGATAAAACTTATCAAATTATAGCTATTTATATTTTAAGTAAAATTCAAAGAAAAACTAAATATGTCTTTATTGGCTATATTATTTTATTTGAATTGGAGTATAGAGCCTTTTACTGCTATCTCCAGAGTAGAGATTGAAAATAATACGCTAAGTCAATTATAATGTAGTATTGGTAAAATTAATTTTCCCTTTGATAATTAAAAAGCACAGTGAAAACATGTAATTAAATTTTTTTTCCATCTCAATTCCAGACACAGATTTTCTACATTGGCCATCAAGAGTTTTTCTTGCCCCAACTTTATTATCTCTCATTCTCTTTTAGTATGTACCCAGGATATTCCTTAGTTTGATGCGGGAATACAAGTAAAATCTGACCAGCCTTAGTAGTTTTCTCTCCCAGTGCTCCCAAATTCTTACTTATATCATGTTTTCCTTGTTCTGTTCTATTTCACATTCAGTCCATGTGTTAGCTTCAAAGCTCAACATATCTTTCTTTTTCCTTTAATTAATTTGCTTTTCCAAAACCTGGAGAGCTGTAACTGTTCCCCTTAAAACTTTCATGTGCTTTTAGTAGCTGAGTATGCTCAGTTGTCAAGAAAAGATTTTGTTTCAAAATGAGTTTACCATCTTTCCAAATATGCATCAGAATTCTACAGTTTTCTAGTTTCTCTTACTCTTTATTAGAGGTTTTAATAAATATATGTACAAAATACCAGCTAGTATAGTATCTGCTTGGAAATATGTATTTTTAAATTGCTATAATATTGTTTTCACTTAAGATTTTTATCTTATCAATGATGAAGAATATTAACCCATTTTAGTATCTGTATATATCTAGCTTTAATAATAGTACATGTAAAAAATTAGTAAAGAGAAAGCTTTTTAAACAAGAGCTAGTTCCATTTGATTTCTAAGTAACAGAAATTATAGCTGTATCCTTTTATAACTACACTTATTCTGAAACGAAGAGAAAAATTGCATTCTATTTTCATGAACCTGGTGACTTTGTACAAACAGCAAGACTTTTTAATTTAAATCTCCAGGAGTCTAATTCAACAAGTCTAAATATGAATACAGGAAGTACTTTAGGAAATTTTTCCTATGAGAATGTCAAAGACATGATACAAAGAACAAATCCTACCAGAAGTAATTGAAATTATGCATGAGTATCAGTTCTATCCAAGTTTTTATATAGGTATATATTAAAATGTTCCACATTTTAATAAGTTATACTATTGGTGGGATTGTAAACTAGTTCAACCATTATGGAAAACAGTATGGCGATTCCTCCCAGCCATCCCATTACTGGGTATATACCCAAAGGATTATAAATCATGCTGCTATAAAGACACATGCACACGTATGTTTATTGCGGCACTATTCACAATAGCAAAGACTTGGAATCAACCCAAATGTCCATCAGTGACAGACTGGATTAAGAAAATGTGGCACATATACACCATGGAATACTATGCAGCCATAAAAAAGGATGAGTTTGTGTCCTTTGTAGGGACATGGATGCAGCTGGAAACCATCATTCTTAGCAAACTATCACAAGAACAGAAAACCAAACACCACATGTTCTCACTCATAGGTGGGAACTGAACAATGAGATCACTTGGACTCGGGAAGGGGAACATCACACACCGGGGCCTATCATGGGGAGGGGGGAGGGGGGAGGGGGGGGGGATTGCATTGGGAGTTATACCTGATATAAATGACGAGTTGATGGGTGCTGACGAGTTGATGGCTGCAGCACAGCAACATGGCACAAGTATACATATGTAACAAACCTGCACGTTGTGCCCATGTACCCTAGAACTCAAAGTATAATAAAAAAAAAAAAATCAGTCATGAAGAAAACCAGCCACAAAAGTACATATTCTATGGTTTCATTTAAAGTTGAAAAACAGACAAAACTAATCCATTGTTACGGATCACCCATCAATGGTCATTACCCTTGGCAGGGGATTAGTGACTGGGAGCTGTTTGTTAACCTGGAAACTCTTTACAGGGATGGGCCCAGTTTTATAAGTTGATTGAACTACATAATTATGATACTTGCACTTTCCCATGTGTATATTATACATCAATATAAAGTTAAAATGAGAAAAGAAAAAAAAAATCTGGGCATATAAAGAGATTTAGTAAAATTCTAATAAACTGCTTGGAAAAATACATGAATCTTTTACTTTTGTTGACACATATAATCAGGAACTATTACTAGATAAGGTAATTTTTCAAAACTACTCAGTGAAAGAAAAATGGGCCCTCTTAGGTTAGTTTTAAGCAAAGTGACCTAAGAATGGAAAGCACTACTGAAGATCCGTTGCCTGATGCTTTTAAACTACATTATGAATGAATTGTGGAAACTATGGAATGTCAAGAAAGGTAGTAATTGAGTTCATGCCTTAAAGTTTTTAGATGGGAAAATAAGTATCTTCTACAGATTATCACAGAACATGTAAACATATAGTAACTTACTAACTATATGAAATATAGTTATTATCTTAATAAGATAATTTCATAACCAGGACTGTCTTACTAAGTTTTTAAATAGAAGTAATGGGTTTCCTACATGATAATGTAGATCCAAATAATAGTTTAACCAACATGACTGATTTTTTCTTGCCTTGATAAGAATAAGGTGTTTCTTATGACTATAATATAAATTTGGAAAATGATTTTTAGCTGTGGGGGTAGATTTATTTCTAAGTTGGGAAACCAGAAACTATTGAAAATGAAATTCACACCCATTAAATTGTGGACTATGAACAGGATCCTATTTAAGATAAGCTTCTGATATTTGAGAAAAGTATTTGTTTATATTTTTTTGTTTTAATTATTGGTTTTACAGGTCAACTCTGTAACCATTTATTATACCGAGTTTAAGAAGTATTCTAATTTAAATATAGTATTTTGTAGAAATTTACACATAAAGAAATGTTCATCTTTTCTTTGTCTTTCCTTCACTTTTAGAGCCGTATGATAATTGTAAAATCAATGTCAGATAATAAAAATGAAACTGATTAAGAATAGTTGCTATAGAGTTAACAATCTATATTGCTTTCTAGATGTGATTGGATTTTGCTCAGGCACTAAAAGTCTGATGAGTGCCAAATTTACTTGTCATAAGTGTGAACACCCAAATGGAGAGAAATATATATTTATCTCCAAGTACATATATAAAACACCATGGGTAAAACTTTCCACTCAAAAGAGCCAGAGCAAAAATGTTCAAAAAATTTAAGTTTAGTTCCTTGAATAATCTACTTTATTATACTCTTCAAAATTTTAAACATTATTTTAAACTACCATCTTTGAAGGTAAGTGTTTTTTATTTTATTTTTTGTCATTTTTTAAATTTTCTGACCACCTACTGCCTGTTGATGAAGGTGAATGTTTTAACATGACTTTATGAATACTTAAGAGGTAATAATGGATAGGACTGGCATACTTGTCATCACTCTTGTAAATTTATGTTTAGGGTTTCATTACTTAAGAGGTTATTTTTTTTCCCTCTGGGATACTTTTCCTGTAGTTTAGAACAATAGATAAACTGATGATTCAGTCATTCAAACTAAAGGAATGTGCTGTGCTTGAGATCCAGACTACAACCATGAATTTTCCAACCTGTATTTGCAAAAATGTAGCTCCTCATTCAAACAGCTAAACTTAAAATATTAAGTGGTCAAGTATGTGATTTGTCAAAATAAGTATTTTAAAAAAAAAAAAAAAGAAGAAGGGAATTGTTGCAATTTGAGACCTATACTCTCTAATCATTAATTCTTCCTTTATTGGCTTCTTCTACCTTACCCTTTTATTTACACATTGATTTGAATACTCCTCCTTACCTTTCCTTGAATCCCATCTATATTCATCTGTTCTCATGCTGCTATGATGAAATACCTGAGACTGGGTAATTTATAAAGAAAAGAGGTTTAATTGATTCACAGTTCTGTGTGGCTGGGTAGGCCTCAGGAAACTTACAATCATAGTGGAAGGCACCTCTTCAGGGGTGGCAGGAGAGAAAATGAGTGCTGAGCAAAGGGGGAAGCCCCTTATAAAACTATCATATCTCATGAGAACTCACTCACTATCATGAGAATAGCATGGAAGAAACTGCCCATGATTCAGTTCTCTCCACCCAGTCCTGCCCTTGACATGTGGGGATTATTTTTTGTTTGTTTGTTTGTTTGTTTGTTTTTAACACTGTCATGGCTTTATTCAAAACACAGTTGCACAAAAGTATTAACTTCAAAGTTTTTAAGGAGATTCTTGAGGAACTTAACACACTATATACATACTGCCATACAAAGAGCATTAAAATAGGACCGAAAACTTCTACAAAATATAAAACCCACCCTTACTTATTTGCATGAAAATACCACCCACAAAGCTAAATAAGTCTTAAAAGTTATCTGGAGGCTCTAAGTGTTGTTTTCAAACCAAAGTACTCTAATTTTGATTGCACAGTAAGATGATTGATAAGAAAGTCAATATATAGATTTCATTTTAAAAATAAGTATTTTGTAATCTGGCATAGTATGTAACGAGAATTGTTAGGAACTAAAATAGGGAACTTCAATTTTTAAAAGCAGAAGAAAAATGTTAGTTTCTTGGGGATTCCAATCCCCTCACTAAACTTATCCCAAGTATTTTATTTCAGTCAGTTGTGTAACTTTTTTAGTTTCTCCACAAGTAACATCATAATTTTTACTTTAAAACACCAAGTCATACATTTTACATTGTAGAAGCAGTAGCAGCAGTACTATACTCAGTATTTAAATATGTCCCAGTATAGAAGCATAACTTCAATTAATTTGCTGACACTAATTTTTTAAAAACTTACAAATATTCAAAACAAAGGGAAAAAGTTTTAGATAGCCAAGATTTAAAAAGCCATTGCTTTGAACATGGAGCCTCAATAGCAAAAGAGGAGATATACTTGTATACTCATTTTATTTAGTAGCCATGTGAGGAAACACACACTTATCCCAAATATTTTTCTACTTTGAATAGACATCCAGTTGAAAACAAATCTTAATTTTAATGTCGATTTAGTTTCAAATACTTTTCCAGCTGCCTAGTACATTCCAATTAATGCTATTATTATATCTGGTAATGCTTCAAAACTGGGAATTAAAGGTTAGAAATACTTTGCAGAGTGGTATCCAAATCATTTGAGAAGCCAACTTTAAAATTTGACTTTAATGTCTTATTAATTATCAACCGGCAATTGTTCTGACTTTTAAGAAACATGAACACTGCTTCCAAAAAGCACCCCTACTTTTCTTTCTTCATCCTACTAATATTGTCTTAGATGTTGTGAACCAAGAAACTTTTATGGTAAGCAGAGCTTACTGCATAAAACTGTATTGATAATATATTCTTATGTCAGAAAATACTCAATTTCTTCCACTTCATTTATTTAAAACCCAGACAGGACTAAAAGGTAGTTGAGGTATAAGACTAAAGGTTTTCCTGGGTTTCACAAGTTTCCCAACTTTCTTTTGAGAGAGCAGGAGGGAGTGAAACAAGAAGGGAAGGTGATCATAAAGGAATTGCTAAGAAGAAAAAGAATGCGCACCTAAAAACAAAACAAAATAAACAACCATCGGCATGTCATGATTTGCAGCCTGACAAAAGGGCTCACCTGCATGTCTCTGGACTTAGTATAAGCAATTTTTTCCTTCAAAAATAAAATCTTATCAGTCACCACTAAATCCATGAACCCTATTACTGAATAGAACCTCCACAAAATCCATGAACTATGTTGCTGAATAGAACCTTTACTATTCTGCTTCTATTTTCCAAGTTACTTGTGACAAAAAAGCAACCACTCTTAGTCAAAAAAAAAAAAGTAACTGCCTTCAAACTAAAGATCCCTGGATTACCTCTAAAAGAATAACCAACTTACCACTCAAGAGACTACTGTCATTTTATATTATAGCAAACTGTAATTTCAGTTAATTTATAAATAAGGAATGAAATGCACCATACTACACCTGTGTAAAAGTGATGTTTTAATTATGGGCTAAAAATGACTAATACAGTAAGCTTGAATTTAAAAAATTAAGTCTAAATAAATTGCTAGGGAATTCCACAATGGGAGTCAATGAAAATTTTTCTCTACATACAATATGATCATTAACAGACTAGTTCTTGTTTGGAATGATAAGGCAAAAATAGTAAAACCACACTTTTCCTATAAAAAGTTACACATTATCTTCTGTAGGGATAGCTATCGTACATGAAGAAACAAAGATGTGATCACTCTATTGCACACCCAGAAACACTAGAGAGTCTGGTCTTAGAATGATCTAGTCATCTTCCTCTCCATCATCTTCAGCATCTCGTTTCCTCTTCTCCCCTCGAAGACCTTCTTCTTCCTCCTCTTCCTCTTCTTCCCCTTCTTCAACATAGTCATCATCATCTTCTTCATCCTGAATTTCTTCTTTCATTAAGTATGAGAGGCCCACTTCCTCTTCTCCCTCTCCCAACTCTGAACCTGCTTCATCTTCATCTTCATCTTCATCCTCATCCTCATCTTCCTCTTCCTCCTCCTCTTCCTCATATCCTTCTGGTGGACCAGCTTCATTTTCCTCTTCCTCTTCATCATCTTCATCTCCATCCTCATCATCCTCCTCTTCAGAGTCCGGTGCTTCATTATCCTCCTGATCAAATCCATCTAAGTATGTGATTTGCTGCAGCAGTTCAAAAATACTTTCTCTATAATCTTCCAGGTTTGTGATCTCACAGTTAAACAGGTCAAGACTTTTCAAATTTTTAAGATTTTGCAGAGCTTCTACTGTACTGAGATCTTTTATTTTGTTTCCACTCAGATTGAGGTAGGTAAGATTTGGACATTTCTCTGCCAGGACTTCCAAGCCTCCAGAAATTATGTTATCACTAAGCTCCAATTTTCGAAGTTTATTTAAGCTGGGAAGCCGGGCCAGTGAACTTAGTTCCACATTAGCCATACTCAGAAATTCTAGTTCTTTGAAAGTATCATTCAGGCCTTCAATTTCCCCATTTACACACAGGCAATTATCAAGGACTAACTCTGTCACCTCCTCCGGGGCTCTGTTCCTTAACTCCAGGTTAATCTTCTTCTTCATCTCCATGTCCTCCTCTTGCTCTTCAGCTACTACTCTCCTTCTTTTCCCTTTCCTGCCTTTCCCAATACCCCCAACCCAAAATTTTTAAGAGATTTAGAAATGAATGAAAAGGAACGCAAATATAAACGCCCACTACCACCAGATAGGTGTGGGGGAGAAAGAAGAGAATAGCAAATGGAGTCCAAGAGTTGGGACTCTAACTCAGCTGGCCCCACCTCCTTGTCCACACACTAGCGCGCGCACTCACACGCACGCACGCGCGCACACACATACACACACACATACACACACAAACACACACACTCACACACCCGCAGTTCCTTCCCCTTCAATGGCTGCTCAGAGACTGAGCCTCCATGACACGGCACCGCCGACATGTGGGGATTATTACAAGGTGAGATTTGGGTGGGGACACAGAGCCAAACCATATCATTCCACCCCTGGCCCCTCCCAGATCTCATGTCCTCACATTTCAAAACACAATCATGCCCTTCCAACAGCCCCCTAAAGTCTTAACTCATTCCAGCATTAACCCAAAGTCCAGGTCCAAAGGCTCATCTGAGATAAGGCAAGTCCCATCTGCCTATGAGCCTGTAAAATCAAAAGCAAGTTAGTTACTTCCTAGAGACAATGGAAGTACAGGCATTGGGTAAATATACTGTTCCAGTTGGGAGAAATTGGCCAAAACAAAGGGGCTATAGGCCCCATACAAGTCTGAAATCCAGCAGGGCAGCCAAATCATAAAGCCCTGAAATGGTCTCCTTTGACTCCATGTCTCATATCCAGCTCACACTGATGAGACAGATGGACTGCCACAGCCTTGGGCAGTTCCACCCCTGTAGCTTTGCAGGGTACAGTGCCCCTCCTGGCTGCTTTCACAGGCTAGTGTTAAATGCCCGCAGCTTTTCCAGGTGCACGGTGCAAGCTGTCAATGTATCTACCATTCTGGGGTCTGAAGGATGGTGGCCCTCTTTTCATAGCTCCATTAGGCAATGCTCCAATGGGGACTTTATGTGGGGGCTCCGACCCCACATTTTCCTTCCATACTGCTCTAGCAGAGTTTCCCCCCATGAGGACTCTGCCCCTGCAGCAAACTTCTGCCTGGACATCCAGGCATTTCCATATATATGCAATCTAGGCAGAGGTTTCCAAACCTCAGTTCTTGACTTCTGTGCACCTGTGACTTCTGTGCATCTGTAGCCCAACACCACATGTAAGCCGCTAAGGCTTGGGGCTTGCACCCTCTGAAGCAATGGCCCAAACTGAACCTTGGCCTCTTTTAGCCACAGCTGAAGCTGAAGCAGTTGGGATGCAGGGCACCATGTCCCAAGGCTGCATAGAGCAGGGGGTCCCTGGGCCAGGCTCATGAAACCATTTTTCCCTCCTAGGCTTCCAGGCCTGTGATGGGAGGGGCTGCCGTGAAGGTCTCTGGCATGCCCTGGAGACATCCGAATTTGGTGATTAACATTCGGCTCCTGTTGCTTACGCAAATTTCTGTGGCCAGCTTGAATTTCTCCCCAGAAAATGAGTTTTTCTTTTCCATGACATCATCAGGCTACAAGTTTTCCAAATTTTTTGCTCTGCTTCTTCTTGAACACTTTGCTGTTTAGAAATTTCTTCCACCAGATATCCTAAATCATCTCTCTCAAGTTCAAAGTTCCACAGATCTCTAGGGCAGGGGCAAAATGCCACCAGTCTCTTTGCTAAAGTTCCATTTCCCAATAAGTTCCTCATCTCCATCTGAGACCACCTCAACCTGGACTTCATTGTCCATATTACTATCAGCATTTTGGTCAAAGCCATTCAACAAGTCTATAGGAAGTTCCAAACTTTCCCACATCTTTCTGTCTTCTTCTGAGCCCTCCAAACTGTTCCAGCCTCTGCCTGTTACCCAGTTCCAAAGTTGCTTCCACATTTCTGGATATCTTTACAGCAGCACCCCACTACCTGGTACCAATTTACTATATTAGTCCGTTCTCACACTGCTATGAAGAAATACCGAAGACTCGGTAATAAAGCAAAGAGGTTTAATTGACTCACAATTCCACATGGCTGGGAAGGCCTCAGGAAACTTACTATCATAGTAGAAGGCACCTGTTCACAGGATGGAAGGAGAGAGAATGAGTACTGAGCGAAGGGGGAAGCTCCCTGTAAAACCATCAGCTCTCTTGAGAACTCATGAGAACAGCATGAGGTAAACCATCCCCCTGATTCTGTTATCTCCATCTGGTCCCATGCTTGACACATGGGGATTATTACAATTCAAGGTGAGATTTGGGTGGGGACTCAGAGCCAATCTTAATGTCCAGCCCTGCTAGGGCTTGTACTGGCTTCTTGGATTTCAAACTAAAATACCACTGGATTGGTCCACCCTAAGCTGCTACTTTTCCTCTGCCTCAGTCATGGGCATTCTTTATCTTACTTAAGCTACTAAGGTTTGCTAAAGTTTAAGAGATGAAGTTAGTGAGTCTTGTCTTTCTTTTCTTTTATTTTTTACCACTCCTAGTAATAACTTGCAATAGCTGGTGTAGTTATAATCCATAGAGGCCGGGTAACTGATATGTTTTAAAAGTAAAACTTTGGAGTTCATAAAGTTTTATGTGAAAAAAGAAATGACTCAGAGTAACTAAAACAGTGTTGATGAGGACAAACAAAGTTGGAAGACTCAAGCTTTCCAATTTCAAAACTTATTATACAGCTATGGTAAATAAGACATTGTGATACTGGCATAAGGGGAGACATGTAGATCAATGTAATATAATTGAGACTCTAGAAATACATTCTCACATTTATGGTCGGTTAATTTTCAACAAGAAAGCCAAGCTAATTCCATGGGGGAAAGAACTATTTTCAACAAATGGTGCCAAAACAATGGATAGCAACATACTCCCCACCCCCCAAAAGATGTTGTACTCTTTTCTTAAAGCATACACAAAAATTAACTTAAAATGGATCAAAGACTGAAATGTAAGAGCTGAAACTATAAAACTCTCAGAGAACACATAGGAGTTAATCTTCATGATCTTGAATTAGGTGATTGTTTATAGATATGACACCAAAAGCATGTGACCCTAAAGAAAAAATAGGTAAATCGGATTACATCAAAATTAAAAACTTTTGTGCTACAAATGGTATCATCAAGAAAGTGAAAAGACAACCCACAGAATGGAGGAAGTATTTGCCAATTATATGTCTGGTAAGGGACTTCTAATTAGAATGTATGAAGAACTCTTACAACTAAATAATAAAAGGCAAACAACCCAATTTTAAAAATGGTTAAAGGATTTGAATAGACTTTTCTCCAAAGAAAATAAAGAAATGGCCAATAAGCACATTAAAAGATTTTTCATATCATTAGTCAACAGAGAAATGCAAATCAAAAGCCTAACGAGATACCATTTCATACCCACTAGGGTGGCTATAATTAAAGAGACAGATAATAACTGTTGAGGAGAAAGTGAAGAATTGACACTCTCATATATTGCTGTTGGGAATGTAAAATGGTACAACCCCCCCCCCATACTTTCTATCCTCTAATAATCATCATTCCACTCTATACTTCTATGAGCTCAACTTTTTACCTCCTTCATATGAGTGAGAACATATGGTATTTATCTTTCTGTGCCTGACTTATTTCACTTAATATAATGTTCTCCATGTTCATCCATGTTGCTGCCAGTGAAAATGTTTCATTCTTTTTTTGGCTGAATAGTGTTCCATTATAAAAATTTATCACATTCTCTGTATCCATTCATCTGTTGGTGGACATTTAGGTTGATTTCATATCTTAGCTATTTTGAGTAGTGATGCAAGAAACATAGGGGTATAGTTTATATATTTGTGCTTCTTTCACATTGCATGCCTGTATCAACACATCCTCATAAGCAATTGGTATTTTCAATGTTTTGGGTTTTAATAGGTGTGTAATGTTGTTTTAATTCGCAATTACCCGGTGACATCTGATGTTGAACCTCTTTCATATGATTATTTGCCATTTATATCTTCTTTGGTGAGGTATCTATTTAGACCTTTTGCCCACTTTTTAATGGGTACTTTATTTTTTTAAACATAGTTTTAATTCTTTGAATATATTTATAATAGCTACTTTACAGTCTTTGTTTATGAAATCCAACAAGTGGGTCCCCTCAAGACACTTTCTATTGGTTGCTTTTTTAAGTTCTTATTTCTATTTTTAAGCCTGACTTCCTTGGATCACCCCCTGAATCAGTATAATTTAGCGGTTATTCAGTGATGGGTTAGATTTCCTTAAATGCCTTATGCTATCAAATATTCCACCTTTTTCTCAAGGATATCTGTGTCAAGGCATACGTCAAACTTCAGGCAATTTACACATCAGCTTTAGCTTTTCTTCCCTGCTTTCAAAGATAGCCAGAGTTGAGTGACTGGGGACTTCTTCTGTCCCGTTTCTTTCCTAGGCATGTTCACAGCCCTGTACATGTATTCATTCTTCTAGATCCCCAAGACTATGTTGCAGCCCTTCAAAATTCCATATCACATCTGGTTTTTCAGGTCTTCCTTTTAAATCTTTAGCCAGGCTCTTGTTTGCTCTAGCTGAAATCATAGCCTTGGACAGCTAGGTTGTCACCAGCCAATTGCTATTGTTTTCTATAATACCCTGGGAACAGAGTTTTTTCACCAAGCTGAGCTGTGAATAAAATCAAATGATAACAACACCCTGGGAATAGAGATTTTCCAGGGTGTTGCAAGTTTGGTCAAATATTGTCTATGCCCTAGGGATAAGGCTTTTAATGAAACTCCAAAAGATCCACTGGCTGCCATACTACTGGCTTTCATTTCTGAGCTTGGGCAGGTAGATAGAGTTAAAAGCCCCACAGACTCTTCTGGTCTTACTCAGGCTCATTAGCTTTTCTCGAATAGATGCTTTTCAGTTTATTGCGTGCCTTTGGTTAATTCCAGTGTTCTGAAATGGTTTATTTTGAATGTTTTGCCACTATTTTGTTGCTTTTGTTGGGGAGTGTGTTCATAGAGATTCTGAGCTTGCCATTCTAGAAATCAGGTTGTTGACATATCTAATTTTGATAGGTATGTCTCTGAGATATTGCTTTAATATTTGTTATGTATATAGATTGTGGCTTATAAATGACAGTAAACATTAGAATATCTTTCTTGCAGAAACTTAAGCATGCATCTGGGATAATTGCATTCTTTCTTTTTCAGCTTGCTATTAGTTCTGAGTCTACAGAGCCATCTGATAATTTTGAGGCTCAATCTTCAACAAGTCAGAGGGAATGTGGTAAAACTGTGAACACTGAAGCCTTAATGATGGTATTTCACCCTCAGAATTTGGAGACTCTTAATTCTAAAATGGTAGGAAAACAAAATATTTA